TTTTCTTCAAACAAAATTCGCTATCTCTCTCTTTATAATATTATAGTACAGATGTTAAAGAATGCAGAAATATAATAACCAATAACACATGAATACCGTGAATGCATACGTAAAGCTTATCGCAGTAATAACTGCAACCTAAATAGCGTGTGGACTCCAATAGAAAAATCACACGATCGAACCAGCTAAACCATCCACCGATATGTTATCGCGCCTAATTCGTGTCACAGGACTGCACCAACGGCAGATTGTATCGGTTGCACCGTGTTGGTCGTCAAATGCATCGGATAAATGATTCAGACTGATACTACAAATATCTAATACCTACACACTTACAGCTTTATAAATAATTTCTAGTTTAATCAAGTTGAATTAGCCTTTGGTTCGTACAGGTGTATTACTAAGATCTTTATGTTTTTTAAACACTATACAATTTATCAATATACTTTCTTCCTATAAATTTTGTTTATTTTGCGTATACTCACTATAGACAAAAAAAAACAGATAATTTCTCTTTACATTAAATGAAAAAATTTTTATTCGGGTAAATAAAATTTTATACATAAAAAATAATTGAAGAAGGTTGTCATAATATTTTCAACATATATAATATGTATAACATGTATGTACAACTTGTACATTATGTTGGCTTAATATTAGGCAAATTTGACTATGAGCTATATATATAGTCAATTTTATTTAGAAGTCAAAAGTTTAAAAATTAACATATTTTGCTAATGTACAATTACATTTTTATGTATGTAAAAAATACCTTTCATTACTCAATGAACAATTTAAATATATATAGAAACAATGTCCGTACGCCGTTAGCCATAAATCCTTGATAATAAACAATTAAACCGAAATAATCTGTTTATATAGCAGTACCTTTACGTTTTTAGTTCGAACATGCTTCCAGTAGCAAGTCTTAGAAAATAAAATAACATATGTATATGTATTTATTTCTGTTGATTAACAAAAGTGAATAAAATGAACTTAATATATAAACTTATTACCACGTATTATTTCCATAATCACACTTTATTTTCTGATGTCAGCATGAAGAAGTTTATGCATGCATGTATATGGCAAAGAAATAATAATATTCATTTATTGAGTTATGAACTTTAAAAATCCCAAAAAGTATCTAGATAGATATATACAAAATGTAAGTACTTATGCATTTTATTCACATGTGTCTGTAGATATGAAGTAATCTCTTTCCAGACTGTGAATTATATATACATAACTTATCTAATTAATATGTTAACCAGATTCAATTTCCTCTCCGACTCTTTTGTTATTAAGAATTTGTAGTCATTAATGGAATTCTTACATGTATTTTAGTAGGCATATTATGTTAAAAAGTTCTTTGACCCTGAAATCTTCCAATTGATCGACATATCAATTAGTAGTAATGTCAACATCTCCGTAATAGCTTATATTATTAGGATAATAAATATTATTTATGGTTTTTATGGTAGATACCTACTAACTGTGAACCACAGTTTTATTTCTTGAAAATATCACACGTATGGCGTTTTCAAAAAATATTTATTAGTTCACACTATAATATAAAACTATGTTCCAATTTTTAGATTTCTAGACCTAATAATATTTGTTGATTGACCATATAATTTCTTTGACATATTCTTTAGTGAGTATGTATGTACTATTACTATTCTACTGAGAGTTCGAGTCAAATATAAACGTTGGTTAGTTTTATATAATAGAATAGAAAATACTTTAATCAAATAAATTTTAATTTAAACACTTTTGAATAGTTGTACTTATTTTTAGTCTATCGCTCATTCGGAAACCTATATAAAAATTCTATGACTGAAGATTTCGTGAACAAATAACATTTCAGCCAAAGTTAGGTATCTACTCATCTTTAAACGTACGTAGGCTAAGTCTGGTCTTATGTATAATCAGCCGTTTATGTATATGTAGGTTATATTGTACAAAACTCTTTTTTATGTATAAGCATAATGTTTATATAGCTGTAAGTATAAAATAATATTCCAAAATCATTTAAATATAAACTTCCTCGTAACCAAAAAACACGTGTTAATTATTGTTAGGATGTGATTATCAAACAAATTCAGTGGAATAGATAATGATTATAAATACCTAAGTACTTTTAACTACCAAATTTAATTAAATTTTAGTTCTATTAATTAGTAATAAATATAAATAATTAATTTTATAGGATTTAAGTATTTATATTTATTTATAATATATTATTGTACTAATATAAAAATATATATAACAGATTAAAAGTTATTAAGTTCTTATTAAGTTCAGTACAAAAGGTAGTCTTATCGCTAACGCAGCCTCTTTCAGATTACTTTGCATAATAAGAACAAAAAAATATATAAATTGTATTTTTTTTATACATATCACAGAGGATAGTTAGCTATAGCTAGCGATATTTGGGAGTTTTAAGGGCCCACCTGAGGTTCCCGAAAATGGCGATGAGGAAAACTTATAAAATAGATAATTCGCTACTTTGTTTTATTTACATCGTTTATTATCTTTTTTATTGCTGTAGTTTGTTTGTAAACCGACGTGAACTTTATGAGAAGAATAATTTACTAATACTTGTTATGTTAACTTTTTACGTTCCAACAGGCGCTTTTATGTTACGTTTCAGGATCAGTTTTTTTTAACTATTAATTATTAACGGGTAAACTTTTTAAGTAATTAGTTATTAGAAATAATTAATGTATTTAATAGATGACATTAGTTTTTTTTTTAATTTATAAACGACTAACTTTATCGCACTATATTGCTCGCATAATGTAGCTATTTTCTAGGTTATACCTAAATATATAGTAAATAACTAATAATCTAGTAAAATAGCTACATCACGGGAAAGAATTTTTAAAATCAAGGTCAAGTAAGTATCAGTAACATTATTATGCAATACTCACAAACAAACATACAAAAAATCCAACGTTACCTCTTTATAATATCAGTATATAGTGGATAGGTATATTGCAGTATGTTTAATTTTGATAATATTAGAGGTATTAGACCTAATACCTACCTCATATGATATAATGCTATCTATTCATAATATACATTTTCTCTGTATAAGAAATAATATAGTATCAAAATGTTTAAACTATAATATATTTATATACATTTTAATAACTATATACGGTTTAAAAATGATGTCGTAAAGTCATAGTTTAGATAATATTCAATAACCGAATGACCTTGTCATTAACTACTTTATGCTGCTACTACAGTATATTTATTGATATCATAATCTAATTATCTCACGCGACTTCATCCGCGTGACTTTTAACATAAACATAGACTACTTATTTTTAATGGATGAAAATGATGATGGTGCACCTAACTGCGCTAATGATATACTGACGAAACAACAGTGGAAGATGTTAGAATTAGGATGAAGTCAGGTCAGTTAGCCCATTGTGGCGAATTTACTAGTTACTGATGTAAACCTATATTTTTTGTGTAAGTAAAATATTAAAAAAGGTGACACTCTACCTGTTGGGATGTAGTAACCCTCTCCAATATACAATACATGTGTTGATCCTAAGTCAGAATTCACCAATTCGATGTCATTCACATGACCGTTATTGATCCGGACTAAAATGTAGCCTATGTCATCCAGCCCAAGTGCTATGCACATATGAATCTCAGTGAGTTTGTTTGTTATTTCGCTTGGTCAATGCGAAACAACAAACAAACTCACTTTTTGATATGTAAGTTCACATATTACTACCACAATATAACCTTAATTCAATTTTTATAATTAATTTTGTAATAGTAACGAAATGACACTGAAAAAAAATCAAACACAGAGTACATTTTTATAACTACATAGATTTATACAAATAACAGTGTTATCTTAATAACATGAAATAAACAGTGTTTGGTCAGTGGGTCGCCTGATTTAGCATTAGAAGCTTTATTAATTCGTTATTTGAACTCTGTGTCTCCACCAAAGATGCTGTAAAAAAGAAGTTCTTTATATGTCAACTAACTAGGACCACAGTATCCCCGGCTTCGACCGGATGCTCATAACTTTATGAGTTTTGTATAATATTAACATAGTATATATATAGCCTAAGAATATAATATAAAATAAAGAAAAAGTTGGAGTCGTGACGTATCAACAGCTAAAGGGACTGATAGAAGATCGTGGAAGGTAGCGGGAGCTCCACCGACAAGAGCACAGCTCTTAAATTATGAATGAATATAGCCTATATTACTTTGGAATAATATAACTTTAAAACAGCGAAAGAATTTCACAATTCCGTGCAGTGATTTCAGAGTTTACTTATCTAGTAAAAACACACTCTCGTTCTTTATAACATAAACCCAGGGAAGTTACCAAAAATTTTACATTTTTATAATTTAAAAACTATAATTACATGTATATTTTATTAAGAGTGAAGTGGAATCAATACAAGTATGAGTAAGTAGCGGTTAAATGACCTTTGCGAAACAAAATCGATTCAGTATCGATTAAGTCGTAGATCGAAAAAACGTGGTACTGATAAAAAAAACAACGATCAAATATGTATCACCGTCAGCGCACCGATGGTCGTTTGCATAAATTTCAATTTTAATGAATGAATTCTATTACATGTGATCTAGTTAATTAAATTAATGATTTAAATTAGATAAATCAATTCGTCAGGTCAATTTATATTGCTGTATATTTTAATTCTATAATAGTTGATATGTAAGCAAATAATGGTGACATATCAACGGTACTTTTGTAATATTATAAGGAAATAGAGCAAATGTTATCACTAAATATACTTTATTCTAAATAGGCGCGACGTTGAAGGGTTAAGGTTAAATAATTGAACTTTGGCGCACATCCGTTTTTCCTACAAAAATGCATGTACCAAAAATATATACGAGTAAGTACTAACAATGAAATTCCCTCCTAAATAAAAAAAATATTGTAATAATCTACAAATTAAGTGAAAACACGAAAAACCTATACGAACCTGAATTATTATGTTACTATATGAGGAAAAGTCATTCACACATCCACAATTTTTTTTACCAGCCAGTAATTATTAAGTTAACAGTGCAAAAAAGTTTTTTTAACGAAGTGCGTTCGCGTGCCGGGTGCCGCGTGCCGCGTGCTTGCGGGCGTGACGTAACCGTAGCACGTCCGAGCGGCAAAGCGCTTAGATATCGACTATGCCGCTGTATGACCAAACAGGGGACATACTTCAACTAGAATTTAACTATTGTATGTATGTACAAAGCTTCCTTTACCTGACTGAAAAATATAAAGCATTATCTAAAATGTTACATATTCTTATTTGTTTTTTTAGTTTAATGAGTTTTAAAATCACTAGTTTAAGTATATCTCACGGCTAACTTTGCCTCGTTGGTCTGGCAGTTTACAAAATTTAGATACTTCCAATAGTCGCGGGGTCGATTCTCGCAAGGTACATTAAAATTAATGAATATTATAATACGTATTTTTCAGATTTTTACGTGTCTTTTCTGAATATATTATAAATGTATTAAAAAAGTGTTAGTAAGTTTTTTCATTAATTGGTTAGTTACAGATAACGGAAGCTCTGCGTAATTTGGGACTAGATTACTTTGTGTGAATTGTCTTAAGTTATTGTTATTATCATTCTATTAATATTATAAACTCCAATTTAGATAGTATGGATGTTCGTTACTTCGTATTATTGGTACACAAATCGGTAGATTTTAATAATACTTATGAATAATTCAATTCTCCATTTAGCATTTGTTTTTATAACTTAACTACTTCTATAAAATAAAAGTGAGGTAAAAGATTCACGCCTATTGTTTTTCCAGCAAAGAGCGATCGTCGAGCCACCTACGCTTTGGTCTACTACAACTTCGAACATTGACAAGGATACTTTTTATCTGATATTGTTATATCCCTATAGTGCCATAGTGTTTTTAAATAATTAACGGTATTTTCCTAAACATTGATTTCAAGGGATTGCTGGCAATCAGCCCAGAGCTCCAATTACGAAGAGATATGGTTTCTATTTATATCCATATATATATCCATTGTAACCTTCAACAGTGATCTGTTAGATCAGTAGTCGTCAGATATCAATACCAAATTATTACAAGGACAATTTTTAAATCAATTTTTTATATAATTCGTTAATCTTAAATGAAGGGGTTGTTGCTAGCAATATTTTTACATTCTGAAGTTTATTTATTTACATTTCATATTGTTTATTATTTTCATATATTTCCACTATATGTATTGAAAATATATAATGTATATTAAGTTTCTTTATTTTGTTTTATCGATCGTATTTTTTATGACTTTACAGATTTTTCTGTCTAGCCAATTCTTTTATTCAAAACGATGAATATATGTACACATACCCGTACTCATATGTGTATGTCTTGTTTTTATAGAGTGGATTCAAAGGTAAAACACTACTATAAATTAATAGATATTTTGATTTCTGTCTTATCAATACTTATCATGTAGAAATATATTGTCTATCTATATATCTTATTTCTCTAGTCTATTCATATATTTTAGTCGTAACACATTCATTTATTTGAGTAGATCGGTTATTTTTGTAATATAGTATATATTTATCGATTGTTAATAATTCTGATTATTTTAATAAAAATTAAATTGTAAAAAGTCTAATCACAATAAAACTATACAAAATTCACACTCAGCTTATGATGTGACACTTTACAAAGCTGTTGGTCTAAGCAGATGGTGCTTCTCTTGTGGTGTCCATATAAATTTGATCCAGATCTGACTAAATCTTTTTGAATAAACCTTTGAATTCTGTTCTCTAGACATCAATTTATTGATGTATAGACTGACCAGAATTCAAAGGAACAGGTATTATTGTTTCTGTTTACAAAAGAAAATTATTAACTATTGAGAATAGAAGTATCACATTACAAAATTATATAATGTTTTGTTGGCAGGTACATATGGCTAATAAGTTTGCATTCCCATTCAACATTGAGCGTTGTTGATGCGTGGAAACCTCATTTGACGTGTCCAAGAGTAGCCATAGCCGCGTCCCAATTTAGTGTGAGAATAGTGTCATTTGATTGAAATTTCCCATTTCCCAACAATTCGTCAATGTCTCAACTCATTTCCGAGAGAAAACGTGAATTTATTTATGTTCTCGTTATATTTATATTATTTCGCTAATAGTAGATTTTTATATATTTGTTTTAAATTATATTTATAACATGTATTAACGCATATTTTTTAGAACAGCAATTCTTTAATTAATCTATCTATCCTTCATATCAAATTAATATGTAGGTATATATGTATTTGCGTACAATTGTTTCTTAAATATATATAACCACTCTTTTAAAAACACTAAACCTTTATCTAATAGCATCATACATACAATGATATCAATATACCACATTGAGCAATATACCAGGTTGCCCTCCACGCGGTGCCCCCTGGAACCTATTGTGATAAGTTCCTGGTGAATTTGTCATGATGAACTAACTCACCAGACCTCGTGCTCACATTTTCCTCATTCTCTATTGGTGTAAATTGTATACGCAGACGGGTACAATGTCCAAAAAAAAAAATCAAATAGTTTCTCATTAGGTTTGTGACTTGAAATATGAATATTTACATGTTATTATATAAACTTAGTTTAATTTATATTTTATGAAATAAAAGATTTTATACAATAAAAATATTTTAATTATTTCATATTTTTCCGCCAGAAGCATATCTATATAGTATTAAATTCCAACTCCAAAATGTTAATGGTTCTGTTTATACAGATAATAAAATTATTATCAATGCTAATCGTTCTAGCTAAATGTTACTTTGTGTACACTGACCAGAAATTGTTACAGACAAAAATGGACGGTAGATCACGACGTTGCAATTCTGGGCAAGGACGATGTCTTAATAGTCCCAATTAATATAACACTCTCACGAAATATTTAACAAGTAAAATAAACCCTTCGGTTTAATTAGAAACATAATACACCATGATTATTAGTTAATAATATTCATGTTTCGTACCATGAGTTATGCGATTATGGCAAATCAAACTAAACCATATACGTTAATAATAAAGCCTAGTATCGCTTTATGTGCAAGAATTTGGACACTGGATAATTAAGTGACAGACAGCTACGTTCTTAATGTACTTACAAACTCATTACGCATGTTTTACCAATGGAACAAAAGCATACGTGAGGGCATATCATTTTCCTAAACATCTTAACAATTGCGAGTATTGACTATTGTATAAGGGTTCCGTTATAGACTGATTTATTTGATATTATAATACTAACAGAATTTGCACAGTTTACATAGAGTTGTATAATTTTATATCATTTTCATCATTCATCTTTTGTAAGTAGGTATGCTTAAAATATACTGAAAACAGTGGAATTATGATGTTATACCATTCAGATTACAATATAGGAATAACATGGAATGAGTTTATCTTTTCAAAAGTACCACTAATTAAACTTTTATATTTTTTTATGTTCTAATTGTATAACATGTACAATATGTACAAGAACTTTATATATTATTGTAATGACACATTTAATTTAAATTAATTCTACAACTTTGTAAATGAAGATTCATAAAAACAATATAAGGTTCCGTTTGCGTTTTTAAATTAGGAAATTCGAAGAGTTTACATTTACAGCGCTAACAAAAATTTTCAACGTAACAAAGTTTACAAGTCTTTAACTTTACTATTTTGAAATATATCTTTAAGAAATATTCCCTTTATAAAATAATGGTTCTTCTAATGTTTTTAAACAGAGTACTCTAAAATGGCTGCTCCAAGTCGAGCTGCGTATAGAAGTATTTTAATCTTAGCGAAGTTTGGCCGAGACTTCTAATTGCCAATCTTACAAATGTTTTGTATTCCAAACACTTTGTGATTGCATAATTATTAGTCTTGATACAGTGTCGTTTCACCGGTGCGATAGAGATATGTACTGTGGACACCCACGCGAGGTTCTCGTCTTACGCATACAAATATTTGGTTGTGTGTCGTTCACAGATGATATTTGGAAAATGAGAAATCTAATGGAAACTGGCACATCTATTTTTAGATTGATTAACCTTTATACATTTTTTTTCATATTTTTAGAGCCATTCAATTAAATCAAGGCATAAATTTCTAAATATGTATTTAATTTGATTTAGAAATGAAAGATTCTGCCAAACATACATTTTAACATACACTATTGTCATACACATTTACCGTACTTATTGCAGTGGCATTACTATCACAAATATTTTTTATAGTCGAGAATTTCTGAGGAATTACTAATATCTGTACTAAATAACAGGATGGCCATTATCCATCAGTCCATATTGCCATGCATCACAGCTCACAGCATCTACTATAAATTCTAAGGACATGTAATAAAAGTTGCTTTTGTACGTATAAAAATTAAATGCCTTGACATTTAATTACATAAACTTATATACATATCTACAAAAAAACCTTTTCTTTGGTAAGTCATTATATCAGACGTAGTTTTATTATTGCTCCTACATTATCTTATAAAATAAAAAAATTTAGGCTGCAATAGTATACCAGACTGTAAAGTACATGACTTGGAATTTAAAATATTTGGATCATGAGTAAAATTTTAGAGATACTATTGGTGAATATTATCAGTAAAAGACGAAAATAAAATTAACACATGTAATTAAATATGTAAAAATACGCCGAAAATCTGAAATAAATAAATAACAAAGTATTATATATGATAATCGTGAAAAAACAGCATGACATAAAAAAATACAAAAATACATCGTATAAAATTAGTAGTACGACACTTTTTCACTCAACAGTGTTATATTTATTACATATATATATATATACCTATGATTTTACATTTATAATACACATACATTACATGGTTTGAAGATTTAAACAAGGGTAGGTACTTCGCGCGAGTCGTGTCGTGAATGGCGACTAACGAGTAGATCTTAGCTAGGGTGGCCAATCTTAAAACATCTAGCCTCGTACGAAGAACTTGTATATGAAATTATATATTAATAAAAGATTAATTTAACTACAATATCATAGAATTTAATTTATCGATTTTCGTAGATCAAATTCTCGTACATACTTTTACGAGCATGAAAATATTCTACTACCGAAGACCAAAAATCT